TTGGGTTTAACGACCTATCAACGATGCGCCTTTCTTGTTCGAATTGGCTGCGAGTTAGCCGGAGGCTGTTTGAAAACATACGAAAAGAAGATACGAAATTTCACTGTAATGTATAACAAAGACGTCACAATTGTTGTACCCATGGAGAAAAAGGAGGAATTGGCAAAATTAAAGGAAGCCGATAATTCAGATTCCGAGTAGTCGATTGGGGATTCCATTTTAGACGATTCAGATGATGAGCTTTCATCTGGAGACGAAACTGCGGATTTTAAGTTATTCGTACTAAAACATTCTAGCAGTGAAGATTCAGACAGTGAGGATGACGAGTCTAGTTTCGGTTCGTCTATTCCCAGCCCAGGATTTTCTAGTTGAAGTAGTGAATCGCCCAGTCGGGATGTTATTTGCCTCGATTTAGTCGACCACTTGAACGAACATTTCTCGAAAGAGTGGCCCAACAAAGACTGTTTAATACCTTCACCTAAATTGTGTTTTTTTATTATATAAAGAAATGTGAGATTAAAATCTATTAATTTAACTTGTTTATTACAAGCAGTATTGTTACCACTAGCATTATTTTTACAGTAATGGCGCCCGAATTATACTTGGTCGTTCGTAAAGGGTATTGGGTACGCCGAATCTATGAAGTGTACCATTGGACCGAGACGGAACAGTACGACCATCAAACGCAGGAGGGTGGACTCTTCACCAGCTACATAAATGCCTTTTTAAAGCTGAAACAAGAAGCTTCCGGCTTCCCGGCCTGGTGTCAGATAAGTTTTGTTTTGTTTTCATTTTGTTTACTTTTTTTCGTTGCTACACTTATATATTAAATTTTTTTGTAAGTCGAGAAGACTTAGCCGGAGGCTGTTGGAAAACATACGAAAAGAAGATACGAAATTTCACTGTAACATATAACAAAGACGTCACAATTGTTGAACCCATGGAGAAAAAAGGAGGAATTGGCAAAATTAAAGGAAGCCGATAATTCAGATTCCGAGTAGTCGATTGGGGATTCCATTTTAGACGATTCAGATGATGAGCTTTCATCTGGAGACGAAACTGTGGATTTCAAGTTATCCGTACCAAAACTTTCTAGCAGTGAAGATTCAGACAGTGAGGATGACGAGTCTAGTTTCAGTTCGTCTCTTCCCAGCCCAAGATTTTCTAGTTGAAGTAGTGAATCACCAAGTCTGGATGTTATTTGCCTCGATTAGGTCGACCGCTTGAATGAACATTTCTCGAAAGAGTGGCCCAACAAAGACTGTTTAATAAATTCACCTAAATTGTGTTTTTTAATATAAAGAAATGTAAGATTAAAATCGATTGTCATCAATTTAACTTGTTTATTACAAGCAGTATTGTTACCACTAGCGTTATTTTTACAGTAATGGCGCCCGAATTAGACTTGGTCGTTCGTAAAGGGTATTGGGTAGGCCGAATCTATGAAGTGTACCATTGGGCCGAGACGGAACAGTACGACCATCAAACGCAGGAGGATGGACTCTTCACCAGCTACATAAATGCCTTTTTAAAGCTGAAACAAGAAGCTTCCCGGCCTGGTGTCAGATGTTTTTTTTTTTTTTTTTCATTTTGTTTACTTTTTTACGTTGCTACACTTATATAATAATTTTTTTGTAAGTACAAGACGACTGTACGTCGATACTTTGATCAGGTCTTTGAAAACGAGGGTATCAAGTTAGACTGGGCTTACGTGGAAAAGAACCCGGGTTTACGCGCGATGGCCAAAATGTGCCTGAATTACTCCTGGGGGTAGACTCGGGCAAAGAAGTAACTTACCTTCCACCAGTTTCTTTTACCGGACGGAAGTGGCAACTTCGTTGGAGGAAGACAATAAATTGGTAAGATACTATTGTTTTTTTTATTTATTTATTTATTTCATTGCGTTTAAAACAGTTGAAAAATACTGATTAACAAAGGTATCATTGTATTCCACATCTCCAAAGAGTTTAAAAATAGAATGTAATTTGTAACCCATACATATACAGCAGTGAATATGAGGGCGGGGTTTGTCAACTATGTAAAAGAGATTTGCTCTGTTAGTCCTTCACAGTCAAACCATGGACTTTGACACAATTCCAAACACAGAAAACAGAGTTCTGCCTCAAGATCTCTGAAATGTGAGATTCCTAACCGTCTGACCCTTCCAAGGTAAAACAAGGGTCGACATAAGAGAATGGACAGCCCCCAATGCACAAAGGGAGAAAGGAGTCTCATCCCCATCTACAGGTGGAAGAATTTCGCTGAGGTACGTTAATTTTACTTTAAAGTCCAATGTACTCAGATATTCCATGCATAAATGTTTTTTAATTATTCCTTCTTATTTTTTAGCAGTTAGATGAAATCAAAATCTAAGCGAAACAACTCTTCAGAAAAGAAGAGATAGACGCAAAATACCACCTCGGTGGTAATGTACACGTCTCCATCAATAGCCAATATCCGGCAGTGGACATCCGCCATTTCTGGGTCCCACCAGAGGCCAAAGAAGCAGTGGCCACCAGAAAGGGCCTAGCCCTTAAAAAGGCTGAATGGGAGGATTTTTTTATTTCATTGCATTTAAAACAGTTTGACACATTTCCAAACAGAGTTCTACCTCAAGATCTCTGAAATGAGATTCCTAACCGTCAGACCCTTCCTAGGTAAGACAAGGGTCGACATAAGAGAATGAACGGCCCCCAATGATGCTAAATACCACCTCGTTGGTAATGTACACGTTTCGATCAACAGTCGATACCCGGCAGTGGACATCCGCCATTTCTGGGTCCCGCCAAAGACCAAAGAAGCAGTGGCCACCAAAAAGGGCCTAGCCCTTAAAAAGCCTGAATGGGATGTCCTGGTAACGGCCTTGTCAATGGTGGAACAGGCGGCCTCAGAGTATGAAGAAATCCAACTCTGCAGGGTGCCATTTGGAGCACCAAAGCCAAATAGCAATGCAGTCCTGTTCGGAGTGCAATCCAAACACATACCACGAATGGTTAAATTAATATATTGTAAAACTGAATGGTCAAATTAAAACTGAAGATAAATTATAATAGATAAATTGACAAGATACTATTGTTTTTTTTAAAATTTATTTCATTGCATTTAAAACAGTTAAATAATACTGATTTACTAAGGTATCATCGTATTCCACATCTCCAAAGAGTTTAAATGTAAACAGTAGTAACTGGGTATAGCGGGCGTACGGCGTATAGGCTATTTATAGACTATATATAATCACACAGGTAACTACCCCAGAGGTACTCTGGAGTAAACAGTACTACAGGTAAAGGTCAGCAAATACTCAATATAAACATATATATATAATCACAGGTAACACTCATCTAGATATACTAAGGGAATCCACTACATGAAAAGATCTACAGGTAAAGGTCAGCTAATACTCAGTGTATAACATCTATATATATAATCACAAGTAACACCCTCCAATATATACTAATGGTATAAAGGGTATAAGTGAATCTAGGATTGCACTACATAAAATATTAGTTAACATGTACCCTACAGATATGAAGAACTACCCTAAAATTATAAGTACAGAACGCCATCATCAAATAATCGATGACGTCAGAGGACGGACCCCAGTCCAATGAGTTGCCAGAATTAACGATCTGTCATTATGATCTCGTCCATATCGTATAAAAGCCGATGTCGAAATAAGTGGTCATACCGCTATTTGCACAGGTACCAGAATGATTTCCATACAGAAATACCAACTTGAAATGATAGATGATACAGGCTTTCATCTGTTCATGAAAAAGGGTGCAGCTGTCAAAAAACTGATCGACCACTATATTACCAATGACATGAGTACAGAATTTTGTAAATTCTGTGAAAAACAGCACGTTATCAGAAGTAAGCTCGTCCATGAGAAACACTGTCTTGTCCGATTAGCTTTGGAAGCGCAATCGGATGTTACAAAAATGACAACATTCTGTTTGCGAGCACAGGATATCGAAGACGAATCCTACGGAAAGGGTCTCGTGCTTTTCCGGGATATCATGATGGTCACTATGGCCGATCGTATTCCCTTCCTTGACATGAGAGGTGCTTATTACCAATCCCTGGGTGAAAGTTACGACCGCGGAGAAAAGGAATTCATGTGGCCAGACGGAGTGTGGCGCAAAGAAGACCCGTGTTACTTTAATCAGTGAAAAAAGAACAGTTTTTTTTTTTTATTAAACTTTGTTTTTATTCTGTTCATAGGTCAACAATAAATTTGGTTTTACCTTTTATTTTTTAGTTGTCTTGTTAAAGACCTAGAGTGGATAAAATACGAGGTACAACAAGTCTTTTTACTCATAAAATATGAGGTACGACGGCTTTTTTTTTTACATATATATATATAACCACCTGGAACTACCCCAGAGGTACTCTTGAGTAAACAGTACTACAGGTAAAGGTCAGCAAATACTCAATATAAACATATATATATATATAATCACAGGTAACACTCATCTAGATATACTAAGGGAATCCACTACATGAAAATACTCTATGTATATAACATCTATATAATCACAGATCACACCCTCTCAGATATACTAATGGTATAAATAGTATAAGTGAATCCAAGGGGTTGCACTGCATAAAATATTAGTTAACACGTACCCTACAGTTATGAAGAACTATCATTGAATTATAATATAACTACAGAACACCCATAGACCATATATTGATAAAAAAAATTAACGATTTAATATGTCATGAAATAATTCTGTAGAGAATAAAAAATATTCCCGCACACTAAAAGTGGCAGAAAAAAACACTGCATACATTCTATGTATAGAACACACGAAACCCGTGTATTTATTACCGTAAAACAATCCGTTTCATACGCTCAGATAAAATTCGGGAAAAAATATTCCGTCTTACAATTTTTTTTTCACACACTTTTCCGGAGAATGCTATCTTCACCCAGATCGTTTTCCTTTTTTACTTTTTCAATGTTTTCATTTCGACAAATTCACTTTCTCATCAAAATGTTATTCCATGCAGATTGTCAGACATTTGAAGAGACTTTGTTAAGATGCGGGGAGGTCAAGAGCAAACTCCAGGTAGCGGAAGGAATAGAGAAAGTGTACATCGCCAGGCTACAGGCAGGGACGCTGGTTTTCGCGGGAAACGCCAAAGTAATGATCGAGGAGACCTCGGACCCTGTAGCAGCGTGTGAGAACGTCAAGACAGCCGGGATAGTCATCGTCAAGGGCAGAACCTGTTTGGTAAGATTTATATCTGTATTAATCCTAATGATTTAATCATATTAAATACTTGCCCATAACATTATACATAATGTGTCAATAATACTGTTACAGAACCGTGAGGCCACATCAACGACTTATGGGTTTGAGGATACAACGACCGACAGATCTGCCACGACCACCCTGGCACCTAAAGTTTCAACAAGGGATGCCGTTATTGGATTGATTGCAGGAGGTATGTTTACTTTTTATATTTATTTTAAAAAAATTAATTAATTTTTAAATGCAGTGCTTAAAATTTAGACTGTAATAAATCTCATTTTATTTTGTAAAATAGGAATAACAGGACTGATGGCATTAGCCATATTCATTATGGTCCTAATTCTAAAACACCAAAGGAAGAGAAGGAATGAAAGAATTGAAATGATTAGTTTAAGTAGCTCGAGTGACATAGTGTTCCCTGAGCAGCACAGCAAACTAGCATAAACCCTATTGAATGTTTACAGGGTTGTTTCTCACAGTAATATGCTGGTCCATCTACAGAGATGCTCAACCGCAGCCGCCCACTGACAATGTACCGGAGCCTCAAGCACCGCCGCAGCCTGCCTTAAGAAGAAGATCCACCAGAGTGAGGAGGCCCGTCAACCGGTTAACTATGTAATTTTTGGGATAAAGCAGTTTTCTTTTTTTTTTCACCTTCATCAGATTTTTTTTCTTTAAATTATTGTTTGGGTTTTTTTAGACGAATGTGAAAAATTTCAAAATTTTGTTATCCGTTTAATAGAAATATTCCATGGACCAGCATATTACAATGTATAGTTTGGATGTAGTATAGTTCTTTTGTTTTACTATGAACAATTTTTATATTACCATTTTTATTCATTTGTGATACTTAGAGAGTAGCATTGTTTTATTGTTGTACCATGTCATATCACATTAACTCCAATACTCAGAAATTAAGGATTTTTTTGTCTTGATTTTTTAAGGTGAAATTTTTTTTTTTTTTTTTGGTTAAAGAAACATTTTCAAGTTTTTTTTTGTAATGACAATCAATTGTTATTTGACCTCTTTTTTTTTAACCTCAAATTATTGTTTTTTTTTAAACAAATGTGAAAATTTTCTTATCTGTTTAATAGAAATATTTCATGGACCAGCATATAACAATGTATAGTATGGATGTAGTATAGTTTGTTTTTTTTTCTTGTTATGAACATTTTTTTTTATATTGTGGCAAACATTTTCAATTTGAAGACAAACAGTTTGAAACAATTTGAAGTTACCATTTTTTATTCATTTGTGATACTTAGAGAGTAGTATTGTTTTATTTTTGTGCCATGTCATATTGGATATTACATTAACTCCAATGCTCAGAAATTAAAGATTTTTTTGTCTTGATTTTTTTAAGGTGTCATTTTTTTTTTATGTGTGTGATAAAAACATTTTCAATTTTTTTTATAATGACAATCAATTGTTATTTGACCTCTTTTTTTTGAACCTCAAAAATTTTTTGTACATTTTATTTACATCTGTTAAAAAAATTCCTTCATTTATATTGTGCCAACAAACTGCATAATAAGTAGTTGTCTTTCAAGACCCATAGCCATATCATGTACTATTTGATATTACATTATTTCCAATGCTCAAAAATTAAGTTTTATTTTGTCTTGATTTTTTTTTAAGGTGTCATTTTTTTTGTGTAATAAAAACATTTCAAGTGTTTTTTTTTTTTTAATAATGACAATCAATTGTTATTTGACCTTTTTATTTTGACTTTTGAAAAAAATTGTACATTTTATGTACATCTAAAAAAATAACAAACTATTATTCATATTGTGCCAACAAACTGCATTGTTCTTTATGGTTCAGAAAGTCTTTCAAGAACTCGTAGAACTAAACAGTTTTATGTGTGTACATTATCAAAGAAAAAAAAAAGGTTGCATTGACCCCCCCCCCCATGAAATCAAACTACCTCCTTTTTCTTTTTTTAATATGTACTATTTCAAATTACTTACATTAAATATGGTTGCTATTTTAAGATTAAATGTACTAATGGTGGTCATTGTTGTATATATGTGCGTGCAAACTTAACCTAACATTTTATTCCCTAAATACAAACTACCTCTTACAATTATACCTCCATGTATGTATCATTCTACTATTCATACTAATTTTTCTTACATTAAATACGGTGCTATATGATTTCACTAAATGTACTTATGTGCCAAGAAAACTTTTTTTACATACCATAATTCTCATTTCTTATTATGGTGCTTTGTGAAAACCGGTGTCATATTTCTTATTATGGTGCTTTGTGAAAACCGGTGTCATTTTTTTTTATATATTGACTTTAACACATGTGCCAACAGTACTCAGGAAAAAGCATGAATGTACATTTCTTACTATAGTGCTTTGTATAGACCAGCCATGATTTTTCTCAGCAAAATAAATGAACTTACCTTCATGCCTATCCCAACAAGACTGTTTTCTCAGTATGCCTGATGTTGTTTTCATGTTTCTTGGGCCAAAAATAAAAATGGTTAAATAATTGATCCTAGTATTTCGAGTTGTTTTTATATAAGTGAGTGATCAGAATATATAAGTGAGAGGTCAGAGTATACCTGGAGGGTACACACAGACATATGATTAGGTATTAAGAAGCCAGGACATGTAACACAAAGACGCCAATATATATATAAACTTCTTAGATTTTCATATTAGTTACATCCTAGACTAACAGTGAACATGAATTCCTCCTTCTCCTTGAATACTGTGTTGGACAGTGTTACTGACCAAATCATGGACGACATAATTGAATGTTTACAAGACGAAGAAGACGAAGCAGAAATGATTAATGGATGAAATAGAAAAGTCGGAAAAAGAGAAAAAACAAAAATCGGGGAAAACGTTCAAATGTTCAAGGTGTTTTAGTAAATTTAAGAAATACGACGACATGATGCGCCATAAAACCAATGACTGTCATATGAATCAGTCAGGTAGCGGGGAAGGCCAGGCTTACTCCGTTAGTTTGGCCCGTGAGAGAACTTTTATGAAGACTAAGGCCCGAGAGAAAACTTACGAAGTTCAATTTCACGAAAAGTGGCAGGGAAGAAACTTAAGAGACTTGCACAGAGAGTTAAATGGAATGTTTGAAACGGCCTTGGATAAAGCCACTGCAAAACACCCGAGTACCGACCTGGGGCGCGTCGTGGTTCATCACAAGGACTTGGAGCCCATCATGGTCCCCTTGAGGCCGTTAGAAAACTTGACGGCTCCCGCCATTATGGACACTATTCAGAACGTCCTAAACAGCCACCAAAAATTAAAAGTAGATTCTAGTTTTCACCTGGACATTGGTATCATTACTATGCCGAAAGGGGGTAAAGTGTACCTAAACCAACTGACGGGTGAGAACAATTCCCTCAAGAGGAAACAGTCCATCATACAAATAGTGAACGACGACAACATGTGCATGGCGCGCGCCATTGCTGTGACGTGGGGTAGGTCGATCGAGTGTTCAAAAGAGGAGTGGCAGTCCATAACACAACATCGAGGAAAGAAAACAAATCTCGACCTAATAATGGAATTCCGGAAAATGCCGAGAAGCCATTTTAAAAACATGATCAAGCCCGGGGCCAAGCAGCAAACAGAATTGGCAAAGGAATTGTTGAGACAAGTGGGACTACCTTCGGATAGGAAATGCACCATCTTGGACATTCAACACTTTGAGACTTATCTGGAGCGAAAAATTACAGTGTTGGACGCTTCCCTAGGGAACCGGATATGTTATCGAGGCCAGGATACGGAATTCCCTCAACTGTTTTTATACTTGGTAGGGGACGATCACTTCCACGCCGTCGTGTCCGTTACTGGATTTTTCTGTTCATCGTACTTCTGTAAACTGTGCCTCAAACCCTACACCGACAAAAACCGCCATTATTGCGGCAAGCCCTGTATCGTGTGCAAGAGAGCCGGAAAATGTCCGTAGACGGACCAGTCTATTCCATGCCCCGAGTGTAACATGACCTGCCGTTCCATGGCCTGTTTCGAAGCCCATAAAGACACGGACGAAGGCAAAAAGCAGAGCCAGTGTGAAAGGTAAGTTATTTTTCTTTTTTTTTTTTTAAAAAAAAGCATGCAATAAAAAAAAGTCTATATTTTATACACGCTCATTGTAGGTACTGGAGGTGTCTCACGTGTCACCGAGTCGTAGATCGGCACGATCGAGACCTGAACAAGCAACCTCACGTATGCGGAGAATGGCACTGTAAGCAATGTAACAGAACAGTAGAAGAAAGCCATTTATGCTACATGAGAGCACTGATATTTTTTGATTTCGAATGCAGTCAAAATGACAGGCAGGTACTTCCGATATATATATATATCATATATAGGACGACAATACTTGTTTGATT